TATTTTGGCGAATGTTCATTAGTTGAACTGAGTTCAGTTTTTGGTCGGTTAAGCAACTCCATAGTCACGCCTCGAGAAAAAAGTAAGTTTTCTGGCAGACTTACGTTAGAAGTTAGTATATCCTTTAGTTACCTGATATCCAAAGTCGCGTTGAAGTCTATTACACTCCTGTACGCCATGTTGAAAGTGTATTCTGTTTGAAAATATGTTCCTGGCCATCTTACCCATTGATTTTCATCCCGTTTAGTTCGGATTGGAAGCATTATAAACTTCAGATATTGGTTATATTTTTTTTTTTTTTTTTTATTTTGAGAAATTCGCTACGGATTAAAGCCGAGCGTGTTTTTTGGCATGAATCAATAGTACATTTACCAGTAAAATGACATGCGTCGCTGATTTATGTTTGTATATCTTTATTCTTTGGCAATATAAATTTGGTATTTGAAGCATGAGAATGACAGATTTAGGTATGGTAGTAAGTTGAAAGTGTCCATTTTGGCCATAAGTGACCATTTCCTAAACACAATAAAAAGTAAACTCTCGTCACCAAGCGAGAGAGCACAGGTGTGTAAATCCCCAATCCGGATGACGTGATTGAGGGCATAAAAAATAAGATTAATTCAACACAAGCTAATACTAGTATCAGTGTACTGTAGTCCCACCAAGGACATTGAAATCACCAACATCGCAAAACTCTTCGACAACGAGGACTGCACTTTGCTTGGTGGGGATCATAATGCCAAAAATAGTGAATGGGGCTGCAGGGGTACTAACAAAAGTGGTAGAAGTATTCAATATGCCAGCAAATTCCTGGGCTACAATGTTATCCCCCTCCAAGAAAAAAACCCACTGCTCCACGCAAGGGCTCCCCACGCTTTTGGATATTTTCTTGGGAGAAAATACTGATTTTACAACACAGCCGATAGTTATAGATGAACTGTCTTCGAATCTCGTTCCAGTGGCTCTATAGTATGGCCACCCAAATAACCGCCTAAAGGGGTACAAAGAAATATCCAAAACAAACTGGATAAAATACTCAGAGCTACTTGAGAGTGTTCCAGATGCAGGAGTTCCAAGTTCTTCAACAGAAATTGATGGAGAAGTGGACAGAGTCACGTCAGACATTCATTTGACTATGGCACTGTCCACAACAGTAGTCCAAGCAAAATATACAAAATACGGCATTCTGCCAAATTTCATTAAATGCATTGTGAAGGAAAAAATCAGAGCAAAAAAGTTGGCCTACAGGACAGAAGATCCTGTAATTAAGAAAAGGGTTAACCAACTTACAACCAACATTAAGATCATGCTAAAAGAGCATTACAACCATTTATAGGAAACGAGAAAAGCCCAGCAGTGGTATTCTGGTTCTCAAAAACACTCTCCGCTTTCTAGTCGCTCGGCACTTTAAATGTAAATTTACATTGAAAGTGCCGAGCGACTTAAAAGCGGTGAGAGTTTTCGAGGACTAGAATACCAGCCCACAGGTCTCAGTTGAAGAAAATTCAGTCTACAAATACACGAGATGCCTAACCAAAGCTCGTCGAAAGCCAATTCCCCACATTGATGTTGATGGAGAGATAGTGTCTAAACCCCAATTGAAAATTGAATCACGGAAAATCCTGCTACAAACATAAGTAAAGAACTGGCGATTAACAGAACTGCTGCAATATATAAAAATATGCCCTACAGTCCAGGGAATTTTCATCGTGTTAGTTTGGACTCTGTTAGAGCAATCGTATCCAATCTCAAGTCAAACAAGGCTCCTGGACCGGATGGCTTCCCAAACGCTGCCCTCAGGAACTTGCCCAACAATATCTTGACCAAAATTGTGAATTTCACCAACGCAATGTTTCAAGTCGGCCACTTTCCCAACAGATGAAAAGAGGCTGAAGTCATTCTGATTCACAAAAAAGGGGAAAACTCTAACTCACTAAGGTCGTATAGATAGACCAATTAGCCTCCTTTTATTCCTGGGCAAGGTGACCGAAAGGCTGATACTTGATCAAATAAATGACCACATTCTGAGACATTTTGTCTGAAACACAATTCGGTTTCATGCAAGGAATAGGTTCAATAAACTAAACAACCAGACTCGCCGCAAACAGTATCAAAGGCTTCAACAGAAAGGCACATACAGGATGTATCCAAAGCCTTTGATAAGGTCTGGCACAATGCTCTATATATGAAACTAATTAGACTCGGGTTTCCAAGTCACCTAACAAAAGTAGTGGAAAATTTTCTAGATAACAGGTCGTTCAAAGTGTTCGCGGATCAACTTGGAAACCAGGAGCATCAGAGCAGGAGTCCCTTCTTTCGCCCACTCTATATATTTTATTTACTTGCGATATTCCAACCTCTAATCACATAAAGTTATATATTTTCGCTGAAGATACCGCTCTGACATCCATTTTTAAACAAACCAGAATCATTGTAGACAGACTAGAAAGAGAACTTTCAAAAATCGAGAAGTGGATGTCGGATTGGAAATAAAAGTCAATCCGGATGAAACTAAAGCAATTATTTTGACCCGACGGAGGCCGGCTGGCGGCAGAACGAACCATTCGTTTTGCCCAAACCTCTATAGAGTGGATGAAACAGTTACACTATTCGGGGACCATCTTCGACAAAGGGCTTAGGAGGAACTCAAACACAAATTATTTATTCAAAAGGGAAAACGTTAAAATGATCGCCCTATATCCCTTTTTGAATAAAAACAGCAAACTTCAACTTACACAAAATAATAAAGTCACCTTGTACAAAATGTTCATAAAATCAATCTCTTCTTTCAGGGCAGCCACTTGGGCAATTGCAGCTCGCACTCACAAAAGAAGATTTCAAACTTCAAAATAAATCAGCTCCTATAATTACCAAAGCCCCAAGATATATAGAAATCAACCAACTTCACAGAGAGCTAAATTTAGAACTGTTTGATGAATTCACCACCAAACTTTTGAATAATTTTTTTAGGAACGTTCAACTTAGTTCAAATAATACGGTAAGAGAAGCATTGACGAGGTCGATCGTATTCGATTCATGCAAGTACCTAATCGATTTTTAAACTGAATAAAGTCCAACAAATACCATTTTAAAGTCACGTGATTTTTCTCTATCCTTGTTGAATACATCTTAAACAGCGGTGATAGTAAAATTGAAAATAAAATTGGTGTCTAATTGACGTGTCTCGCAGAAATAGAAAAAGAGAGCTTAATTGTAATAAATACAAGTAAGAAAGTAATGAAAAATGACATGCGCGCGCAACGCGTGGCTGCAGTGTAGCCAGATTGTATTGTTGCAGAACAAATGTAGACAATAAATCGAACATTATAACATTAAAGAAGTGATATATTTTCAAGTGCTCTACAACGCCTTAAATCAGACAAAAGAAGAACTTTAAAGTGTACCTATGTTAACATCGATGGCACTTTTATTTTGATAAATGTTTCATCCGGCAACATCGCACAAGGAAATTGCAAAGGAATATGTCAAGTATAATCTAACATAACTTTAAACGACACTGCGATAAGTTCAAGTAATACGTGAAGTATTAGTTTGGTCTTTGTCGAATTACACGTTACAAAGAAAGAAGGAAGGATTGAATCTGAACTCGACCCGGAATACGAATATGACGCAAGCCCGTAACAAAACCCGATTTTCATTGGACGCTCACCTGCAACCCACCAGTTGCGCGCGCTCACCAGGTATTACGAGACACGTCAATTATTGTTCATAATATTCTTACTTCAAATAGAATCCGTCACTGTCATCAATTAGTTTGTCAAGCTATTTTCGAAAATGATACAACGAACAAACACAGCTAATAATTTTGACTATATTAACCTTCTTCCAACTCGAAAAGAAGCAAATAGAAAACGGGTACCCAATTCAAGTTCAGAATGTATTACAACGGACAGCAGGTGCGACAAAAGTGAGTCTCGCAACAATTGCAAGTATTAAAATTCCCATCTGATTGGTCAATACTATTTCAGAAACGCGTTTGTAAAATGCTAGTGGAAACATATCCTAAAATTCAATAGTAATTAACCACCAGTAGCTTTTTGTAGGTGATATCAACGACATAATCAATGAACATACGTTGCCACCAATATCACGTGACTTTAAAATGGTATTTGTCCTACTTTAGGTACCAGTTTATAGTGTTTTTTTTGTGTCCATTAACGCACCTACCCTCTCCCCTCTTCTCCCACAAAAAATATCCCGTCTTTTATTCAATCCTTCATGAAGCCATATGGTAATCAAAAAGTAAACAAAAATCAACCAAGTTAAAAAGGCCAATAGAAACATTTCTGGGCCAGAGAAATACAACACGATCCCAAATGGTTACCGACAAAATATCACTTAGGAGAAAAAATCTGAACAATAAAATACCTCTTATAGAAAATATAAGGTATTTCACAACAAAAGTAGCATCTAGAAGAGGCACACAAGATAAAAGAAAAATCTGAAATTATGACAACTGCATTTACAAAAGTAACGATTGAAATAGCGGAAAGAAACAGGAAGAATAGTAAAAATAATTTAGTAAATAATTTTTAATTTTGAAATTATGTATTTAACATGGATCCTTCAACGGAACGGACTTCCTCAAAAAGAGATCACTCTACTCTACCAAACAGGGCAATGCGGCACAGAATAATACCTATATACAGAGCTATTTTGATACCAGTTGATTGCCCCAAAACAAAAAAATTAAACGAATTAGCGAAAATCAATTTTATAATAAAGCTTTAGATTGGGTTAGTTTGGGTCAGGTAGAAAAATTATAAATATTAATATTGTTGTGGTGGTCCGCTGGTCAAGAAATAATAATTTTCAAATAAATAATATCATCAGATATAAGGTATTTCTTATGAAACAGGAAACACACCTTCAATTTCTGGTGAATATTAAATAATATTTATTATTTGTAAGCAATATTTGACACCAAAAAATATCCAGATTATTGTAACAAACTAAAAATAAATAAAATAAAATAATAAACATATACAAATATTTATTGATAATAACGATAATAATACTATACACAACCCAAAGCAGGGGTCGATTGAAAAAATTAAAGAGATCTTACTAAGTTATGGTGTAAATTTAAAAAGAGCATCTCAAAAAAATACATATTTGGTATAGAACTAAGGGAAAAGTTGATCAAAAGGAAAAGCTTCCACAATAGCATTTCCAGTATTTTGAAACACTGAAGCCAAGGACTTTTCAATTACCGGCATCAATTCGCTCAGGAATACTTTAAAATTTCTGTTCACCACATCATTTAGCATCGATACTAGAAAAAACAAAAAATATGCAAAAATTTTGAATTATAATTAGTAGTTTCAATGATTGGGAATTTTCGGTACATCATTGCTCAAAAAAAAAGTTTATACCTAATCATAAATAAATAATAAAATACGGATCCTTGAACTATTAAATGGCCACGGAATAATAAATAGTAACCTACTGACGCGAAAAAAACCTGCGGAACTTACCTAAGTCTACCATTGGAGATTTTTTTTGAATCGATTTTTAATGCATAGGTACCTGAATATTGTAGAAATTCATGAGGTGTCAACATGTTTTGAGATTATAAGAATAAAGAATTATCAGTTTCAGAGCATTAATTATTGAAAACAATTTTCTCGATTTTGATGTGAGAATGTCATTATTCCCGCACGCAAAATCGTTGAAGAATGAAGCTCATTCTTCAACGATTTTTAGTGACATTTAGTTTTCAAAGTATACCTATTGGTACCTTCAAAATTGTCAAACCTTCCAAAATGATAGAATCCACCTGTCAGTTGGTTGGTAAGTAAGTGTCACCAACTGACATATTTTGAAAATAAAAAATCCCTAACAGCGTTCATAAAAAAAAATGAAAAAATGAAAAATAAAATCCAAAATCGAGAAAATAGTATAAAACACACGTTACAGAAGGCTATCCTCGCACTCATTCGTTCGTCCACTCGCTCCTTCGTCGCTCGTGGCCAATATGTGGCCTTCTGCAACTTGTATTTTAATATACTATTTTCTACGAGCGTGCATTTTTTATTACTTTCTCGCACGTATCTTAATTCCGAAAATGTCACTTTCCAGCACTAGTGCGCGATTTTGTTTTTTGTAATTTTTTTTGACATTGTTTGACTTTTTGGTTCCTTTGAGGCGGGGCAGTTCTTTTACCTTAGAAATTTTGTTTATTCTAACATCAAATCGATTTAATACATATTTTTTTTCAATCGTTCTTGAAAGTAAACGTAAAAATATAAAAATAAGTAATTTTAGAAAAAATAATGTGCGGAAAGTGTCTTTCCTGCACTCGACTGCTTGCCCGAACTCCGCTTCGCGTCATTCGGGTCAACGGCAGTCGCGTGCGGGAAAGTATCACTTTCCGCACTTGTTAGGAAAATAACTAATTCCTACAGCCGTGCGGAAAAATCGATTTTCCGCACTGATATGCGTGCGGAAAATGAGTTTTCCCGCACGGTGCGGTAAAACTTTTTTTTTTTGACATATCAGTGCGGAAAAAGTTTTTCCGCACGGCTGTCAGTGCGGAAAAATTTTTTCGCCTGTAGGAAAAATATTGTACCTAACACTTGCGGAAAATATTTTTTCCTACGAGCGTGCGCAAAGTAGTACTTTTCCGCACGCATTTCCGTTCTCAAAGTTACACTTTTCCGCACTCAGTGCGGATACGGGCCTTATCCGCACTGAGTGCCGAAAAGTAATAGTATATTACATACCGAGTAGGGAAGTGTTTCATTACTGTCGAGAGATTTGATATATGATATAATCTCGAGACAGAAATGAAAACTTTCCTCCGAGGTTTGTATACTATTTTATTTGCAAGCACACCATTAATTATGATTAGTCAATCAATTTTTTTAATATTGAAAAAATAAAACAAACATGCCAAAATGTGTCATTCACTGCTTTGACGTTTACCTAACATGTTCTCATTGTTGCCAGCAAAGGTAAATGAATTAGAGTGAGGGAAATCGGTGAGGGAAGTCGAATAGGGAAATCGATGAGGGAAATCGAAGAGGGAAGTGACACAGGTAAGGTGTCACTTCCAAATGTTTAAAAAGTCAGTAATGACAAGATTACATATATGATTGCAAATAAAAATAATTGTCAAGCAACAATAAGTGCACCTGTCGACTTTGACACGTGATGACAAATTTTTCCTGTTTCTATATCAGCCAATATCTATACAAACACAAACACTGAATACCTATAATTAACTTTGACACATTGTCAGATTTATGTTCTCCATTTACATGCAAGAATTTCTTTCGCATCAAATTTAAACGCTTTAAGATGAACAGCTCTGACGAGGATTTCAATTTTCTGTTCTTTTTTTTTTGTTATCTAATTTCTTGGTGAATGAATAGGTTCGCTTCAGGTTAATTGGAAATAATTGAACAAATTATCGATTTTTTTTTTTAAATTTTTGTTGTAACCTACCTTATATGAAGCTCGTAGGAAAAATTTTGTTCCTAACACGTGCGCAACGTGTCTTTTCCGCACGCAAACACTTATCCGAACTTCGCTTCGCGTCGTTCGTATAACTGTGTTTGCGTGCGGAAAAGTAACACTTTGCGCAGGCGGAAAATAACTATTCCGCACTCGGCTGCATCACCGAACTCCGCTACGCGTCGGTCGGTGAACGGCAGCCGCGTGCGGAAAATTTCATTTTCCGCACTTGTTAGGTAAATAGCTATTGCAATTTTCAGATGTGAAAAACATGTGTTGCTGTCAAAAAGGGAAAACAACCCTGCAAATAACAGGTTTTAAGACATTCGGATTAAAATTGGGGTGAAAAGTCATCGACGATAGGAATGAGGGGAAAAAAATAGGATCGAACCAGAAAAGTGTGGCTATTATGTGACACCAGAAAGATGCTTACCAAAGTATAAATTAAACTCAATACATATTCTATTAAACTACCCAGCACTAAGTTAAAAATATATTCAATAAGTAATGACTTTTATAATTTTTCTTGAAAAATATTATATAAATGTCTCTTCCACTGTCTCAGGCGATGACTTGTTATTTTAAACTCTACCAATTTCCAATATCTCAAGAAGAGAAAAAAACGGTTCAAGTTATAGAGGTTTTAGTAAATTAAGTCGAGAGTTCTTGGCCAATATGAGCCATGATCGTGCTGACAGTCAGACCATGTCATCCTGATTTACGAAACTTCTACACTCAAGACCGACATTCCTCTTCATAAACATGAAGCTATATCAGCCAACTTTCCGATTTCCCAACCATGGCTTAAGATTATTCCAGTTTCTGTAAGGTCAACACCACTTTTTCTGGTGCATGCCCTGAGGATTCGGAATAATTCCGAAACATATTGGCAATCATTTTTCATCAATATATAATTCTTATAGTTTTGTTAGTGAATCAAGAATTGTAAGAATTGTTTTTTTTTTTACCTACCTCGTTAATAATAATTATACTCACATAAAACTTTGTCTCCATTAAAAAGGTTCTCCATCCTAACCGAACCACCTCCAACGTGAACCCTCAGTTTGACTTGCGAGTAAGTTAAAAATTTGCTGCCGTTTTGTTCGATTATTTCACCTTGTAGTTCTGCCCTTGCACTGACATCAGCTGGAAAAAAAGAGTTTTGGGGAATTTTCTATTTTGGTTTATTATCCTAGTTAAAATGTGCATAAATTTTAACATGATTTGATAATTATTGTATCCTCATCACATGCAATTTTAAAAAATATATCTGATTATTTCCAAATTGTAGGGATAACCAATAGACCTTGACCATCCTCGGAATCTACCTATTAAAAATTCGTACTATTCATTTGAGAAAAAAACTCCTTTTTACAGGAAGGTAGGTGCTAATAAGCAGAGGGATGCATCCATTAATCTCTCTCTAAAACACAAATAATTTTTGATCACCAAGATAACTTTGTAGTATTAAACTCGCTAGTCCTAACAACTTACGGAACTTCGACCGGAATATGATTCTGATCCTCAATTTCATTTTGAATTAATAAGCCTTTGAAAATGGCGAACTTCTGGTCATGAATTGGAAGTTGAAGAGTGAAGAACAAGACCAACATAAAGAGCATTGATAAAAACGTTCTTCAAACGACACTGAAAACCCTATTAATGGTTTGAGATGCAATCAATATCTCAGCCTGATGATATACCTACTTCATCTATCTGGTTGATGGCACCGTATTGTGATATGTGTGCAAATTATTGTGACATTTTAAATGGCCTATTTTTTCTGCTTTATATGGAGAGGGAAGGCGTTTTCAACAGCCTAAATATGATGGCATAGTTCTACCTATACTCGAAGTTTTGATGCAAAATCACCAATTGGCAAGCCTGGCCAGCAGTTTCACCAGATCTTAGTCCCATTGAGAAATATGGTGAATTCTGAAATCGAAGTTGAACGAGCAACGCCATTGAAATAAATAGGGGTCGACTCGGTCAGTTTTACAGAACCTGGACCTCCATAACCGAACATTATGGCGGTGACCTAGTTTCGGGTGTACCTATGGGCGTTTAGTTGAGTGTTTAAATTAAATTGAGGGCCTATTAATAAATTAGATTGTTTATCTGTTGTAATTTTATCAAGTAATAAAAATATGTACCGGAAAATTTTAATTGCGCTTTGTTTTTCCGGATATTGCATGACGGACTATAAATAAACCTCCTACTTACTGACATTAGTCTCCAAATTCCCATCGCCTTTTACCGGTACCAATAATAATTTTCCATCCAAATGGTAATGGGCTTCTATACGAAGTTTAGGAATATCAACGTCTACAATGAACTGAAGAGTATCTAGATTTGTTCTGAAAATTGGAGAGTGAATTGCCTGTTAACTTACAGATATAATGTTTGCCATGTGTGATCAATTTTTTTATCGCCCCTGAGGCACCTCAGGATCACTCGATCACCTCAGTTTATCATAAAGCTGATCTCATAATAATAAAGCTCACATGAATAATGTACTACTTACTCTAATCCTCTTACAAAGAAGTCACTACAACCCCAAGCGCTGACATTAGAAACTACAATTTTCATACCGGCAGCTTCATCGGCAAAAAAATCAGTCATCACTAGAGGCTCTAAGCTTGGAATGTTGTATTCTGGAACACCTGTAAAGATACTTACATTTTGAAGCTATCAGAAATCAGCTTTTTTATTGTTATTGTAAAACATTTCTATCTTACCTTTGAGCAAATATGGTCGAAGTTCCTCCACAGATGAAATCATACATGTTGTTAGGTTGGGGTCGTCTCTGGCACAAGTGCGTATGAAATCCGCTAAAAGAATAATAATTGATTTGCGGAGGTTTGATAAGAAACTTGATTATCGACAAAGAGATTGCAACTTCAAAATATCACAATGTTTAGTTAGCGATCTAGATCTAAGTAGCCACTTTTGAAAATTCTTAATTATATTATTAGTCAATAATATCTGTGTTATTTTTTGAAATCAATTTACTCTATGTAGAAGAAGCAGATCTGTGATAATTGTACAATCCGCTCCGAGCAAGGTTACATCTAGAGCCAGGAATCACTGGGAGCAAAGAAAATAATTTGATAATATATGTATCGCCAGCAGAAAAAAAAATATATTTAGGTAGTTGAGGCTAACAACAGCATTTTACATTGAATTCTTTGGAAAACCGTGGGACTTGTACCAAATAATAAGTAGGTATGTACAAATAATATAAAAAAAAACTTACGTAGTTCTTTTCCTCTAACTCGCACCAGACCGATCAAAAGTGAACTCAGAAAAAGAAATTTTCGAAACGCCATGATTTCTCCCAAAAAGTAATTTTTGAATTCGCAACAAATTTAATACGTTTATGCATTTTTATATCGACAAATTTAATTATAGTCTATCCAGGAAACAACAGATCCATTAGCAGATGGGGCATTTCCTGAAAAGGCCCTGCAATTTCGTTTTTCTAATTTTCCGTTTAGGTAATTAGCATGTACCACGCGACATATTGTTATGTTGTACCTATAATTTGATATTGAAATTTTAGGGATAATAAGATTACATACAATACATGCTAGTTATCACAAAATGATTTTTAATAAATAATGCAAATTCATTTCAAAATAAATATTAAAGATATAATTCTCTAATCAATTAGTTAGCATAGCGTCATAAGGAACAGTTTCGAATATTTTTGATACAAAATCACTCATTAACAGTAAAAGTTTCTTTTTTAGATGAGGTTTCATTTCCTTCAGGAGCTCTTGAGCGTTGGAGTTGATGAACAGGTTCAGTGCAGCTTCTAAAACGAAAAAATAGAACTAGTAGACTGCAGATCACTCTCGAATATATATCAAAATTTGAAAACAGATGAAAGTTGTTGTAGTGAGTTCTATATATGAAGGATAGACCGACCCAATAACCGATTTATTTACGTCAACATATTGTTACAGGAATGGAGCTATTCCAAGTAAGAGTGATGGGGCTATACAGGGCAAAAAACTACTCAGTCTGAGAGACATGGAGCTATAATGCAGCATCTTTTCACACGCGTCAAATGAATATAGCCGGTCCATCTATTGTATAAAGTCTTTGGTTGATATATTGAAATATAGAAAATATAAGTGAAAACTCACGTAAAACGGCGTTGCCATTATGAATACCATCAACACCCATCCGAATATCCTTAACACTAAAGTCCATTTTGATTTGTTCCAATTGCAAGTAAGTTTGTCCATCTTCGCCTAGCGCCTTACTAGCTCTCAAGTAAGCTTTCACTTTGACACCCTCTAAAAAGTTAATTTTTAATATTTTGTTACAGACTACTTACGCCTTTTTACCATATTCTCCCCAATAATTTCCTCCACCTGAAGCTCTGATAAGTAACAAAATGCCACTGGACTCGTATTTAGCTGTTGCTGATATTTTCGGAATGTACAGCGTGAATTGGAATTGATTGGTTTCTATGTCTGACCTAAAATATTTAAATTTCAGACAATTAAACACAAACATGTGAGTAAATAGTGAACAGTGCGATACATTATTATTATATCGTAACAGTCGTACCTATATAGCGAGGGAACCCCAAACGCAATCCAATAATCTTTCCATTTTTATATTAAAACTACTATACCATACTATTACTATACTATACTATACTATACTATACTATACTATACTATAGTACCTACACATACATACATACTATAAACTAAACAGAGCATTCTATGGTAAATACACGATATATAATCAAATGTGGGTGTACCTACTTCTTCAGAAATATCGATGACAAGGGCAAGAAGAGGAAGCCCGAAGACAGAGAAAAACAAAAAGACCTGGACCGGCTTGCAGCACTTTCACAAGAAGATCGGGAATCTAGATTCAAATTCAGAAAAGCTTTATTGTCACAAGTATACAAAAGTTCTTATTGACCAAGAAGATATAAAATAAACTTGTAGGTAGTAAATAGTAATAATAAATATTTTGACTAGGGTTAGATAGATAAATAATAGAAAATAATTGAAAACCAAAGATCTTTGAATTAGAGCTGAGGAAGGAATCAAGGGAAGAACATATTGAAGATTTTCGTGTTATATATACAAGCTAGTAGAGTCTATTTGGTCCCTATTTCACATGAACCAGCGAAAATTTCAGAATAAACAAACAGATAAAAGTCAGAATCGTATGGATCAGAAACAGTGGCCTGCGCCAAGTGTGGCCTAAAAATCATAATTTTCTGGAGTACAAAAACTGATTTGAAGTTGTAGTTACGCACTACATGAGTCCTAGAAACAAATGCCTTCGAAATGAGATTGGACTAATGCGGAAGAAGTTGATCTAGCAACGGTCTAACCCAGCTCATTAACATTGAGATACTACAGCAAAACAAACCCTAACAGCCACCTTCTCAATATATAGTTCCAACTTTAGACTTTAGGGATGTGCAGCCCCAGTTTACTCTGCTCACTGCTTGTGATTGTCGGAGAATCAAGATGCAGATCAACTATATTGCACCTAAAGCTCATCAAGTTGTTCTTGGTAGAAATTATCAAAAGACGATTAACATCACACTACCGTTTAACAACTTCCATGTCTGCCCGTCGTCCACTGCTTTGGAGTCGTGCCAAAGAACGGTCGTGCCATCGGCGAACATTATGATAAGGCTACCGGAAATGCTAGCCATAGCAAGATCGTTCACATAAATAAGGAACAGAACAGGTACAGAGCCCTGAGAAACCCCAGCTTTCAAGACTGCGGAATCTAAGCCCATACACCGCAAGCTTGCACGAGAGCACTCCATGATCTACACAGTCGAAGGCCTCAGTTATATCATGATAAACAGCTGGCAACGTCATTGAGTTCGAGGTAAAGTTTTCCAATAAGTAAGGAATGTAAGGATGAAAAGGTTTCTTTGGCAAAGAGCCGATTATTGGCCTCCACCAAAGCAGAATGCGGAAGCTTCAAGAATGTCCTCTAGGACTAGGACAGAGAACAACCTATCCCAGCCCGCGGCATTTTTATTTTTCATTCTAGATATAGATAATATAGGTACCCTTGATCTCCTCAACTCGGACCTTTAAATATTTCTGAGAGAATTTCATACATCTGTCAAAACTGGTTTTCCAACAATAAACTGACATGTTTTGATTGTTGATTTGAACCAATCAAATTGGAATTACGCGATAATTTGCACTATTTGCTATCTGCTAGTTAATATTACTATTGAGAATTTCATACATCTGTCAAAATTGGTATTCCAACAATAAATTGACATGTTTTGATTGTTGATTTGAACCAATCAGAATGTAATTACGCGATAATTTGCACTAGTGCAAATTATCAGATAATTGCATACTAACTGGTGCGAAAACTGGTGTTTTGACATTTTTTGACAAAAAATTTAAATTTTTGATTTATAAAATTCTCTCATTAAATACAACTCGTGCAATGGAAATATATTTATAATTTTTGACAAATTTGCACTCATGCGTTTTTAACTGAAAAAGGCACTCGTGCACTACGTGCACTGTGCACTCGTGCTCTTTTTCAACTAAAAATGCATTCGGGCAAATTTCCCAAAAATTATCAATAATTTCCATTGCACTAGTTATACTACTATTGATAATTCATCACTCAAAAAAAAAAAAAACAAACAAGAACAGAACCGGTTTGCAGGGGAAGAAATTACATTACGAAGTTGGGGTTATTCGTCAGGAAGTTGGAACTGTTGATAATCAGAAAGTTAAATTTATAGATAGTGTCAAGAAATTCGAAAGTTGAAATGTAACTTGAGATAAGGAAATGTCACAACCAGTATTAATGTTCAGCCACCCCCGGACAAAGGTGGAGACCTATTGACGACTATTCCGTCAGCTTCCAAAGAAACGTATATAAGTAATGTGGTTGTTGCTTCTTGATGCGTTGGTACGTCGTTATGAAGATCAACGCCGACTGCAGCTTAACCAGGTACAACTAAAAACTTAGGACAAGTCAACAGAAAGTTTTTGATAGTTTTACAAAAATTTGGGGCCGAAATTCGCAGTCAGGTTAATTCGGCATTCTCAGAACAAGATATATGAATGTACATCATAGAATGGTGCTTATAACCAAACCATCAAGTAGCAGCGAGGCTTCACTCAAAGTCCTTGAAATCGAACTGGTCCGTGAGAAATCCAAACCAAAGATCAGTGCCGCTTCGCCCGTGTCAATATATGCAATACAAAAACAAAAAGAACGATTGGAGACACAATACGGGGACTTCTGGAAGAAATACGAAAGGTTACCAGAAGCAATCCAGGGAATTTGAAGGGGATAAGAAATGTTACCACTGCGAGCAAAGAGCACATAATTAACAAACGTGAATAAATACCTGTTAGGAGCTTTCGATTCGGAAAGGGTCAGAAAAAGAGTTTCGAAGAGCGTAGAGGTGATCAATTAGAGTAATCGACATAATTCTATTTTCGAACCTGGAGGAAATCGGCAATAGATTGCCAACAAACTCGGAAAAAACCCGGCGAGTGGAAATATAACGGCAAATGATGGGATACGACTGGTGATCCAGCAGAAGGTTATTATTATCCTCTACACGTATGCTCTAAAGATTTTCATGATGAGGGCTACTATGATTGCCATGATGACCGTCCGCGCAGGCGCAGATAAGCCTGCTGGCAGCATGTCACTCAACAAAAAATAGGTAGCCATACTTGTACTTCCCGTGACGTCAGTCTACGGGGAGAAGAACCATGCAGCCATGAGGGTAGACTTGAATTGGCAGAAAGGCAGCCCAGAGGGTATTCATTTGAAATGCGTAGAGACGTTAAGCATGTGGATAGTTGGGATCATGAATTATAATTATTCAAGTATGAGGAAGAACATAGATCTAGAGGACCTAATCAGCTCCCAAGACATGGTTCTGAGGACTCTGAAAGGCATAAATTGCTGGTAGTATATGGAAATTAGATTGCTATACTTTGTTTCCTTTTCGTTAGGAGCACAAGAAAAGGCAAAAAAGGTCGAAGGCCATAAAACGATCAAAACTATAGGCGATCATAAGACGCACATAACCATGGGTTGGGTCACGTGTGTATAGTGGAGTGGTTGGTGTATGCATATTGTATAGTGTGTATTTTTATTGTGAAAATGTCATCCGATAAAATTTAGGGGCCTTCTTAGTTCCCAGGGTAGGACTATAGTATTGAATGTATGTACATGTCGCTGTTCCAGAAGAATACCGACGTAACTGCAATTTTTTCCGAAACTGAGTTACGCACACTAATGAAAAAAGAAAACTCGAATTCATTTGGTAAAAAATTGCCGCAATTGTACTACCAAATTTGACCGTTAGATGGTAGTTGCGTCATTACTCCATTATAGGTCCTTTGCGCTAACATTTCCGAACAACACCGACACATGTGTCTTAGTGGAATCAGTTTTTGAGAAATTCCGACGTAAGTGCAGTTTGTGTCGTTATTCACCCAATAACTGAGATTGATGCACATAGCCTATGTTCCGATATCAACGGACAGTACTGAATTTACTCGACGCCGTTCCGATATTACACTGGATTCAGTCGATTCAGTACTGAATGACTACAAAAGTACGCTGTTGAAATCGGTACGGCAAATGACAGTAAAATCACCACGCAGTAAATCCAGTACTGGCAGTTAATATTGGAACATAGCCATAAGTACAAGCAGAGCTGGGATCGTTACTTGAAAAAAGTAACGCGTTACTTTACAGTTACTTTTGCTTAAAAATAACTCGTTACTTAAAATTTACAGTTACTTTCGAATAATGATAACTTTATTTTCGTTACTTATTGGAAAGTAACGCGTTATTGTAACTTCTTTACTTTAAAAGTAGTTCGTTACTTTTAAAGTAATGCGTTACTTCAAAAATAACTATTTACGTCGAAAATTGCGTTATTCCTTAATTTGACTCACCAACACAGCAGTACAAACAATCAAATAAGACCTATACGAAATTCCAATATTTTTTTAGTTTGTGAGTCCGACTATGTGGAAGAGTATTTAACGGATTAAGGATTAAGCGACTGAATAGAGCACTTGGTTTTGGACGAACCTGCTCTTTGAAGCGTCCCAGTGTCTGCATATAGTGTCATTAGAGCAGAGGCGGCGCGTGGCACGCCCAAAAACGATTATTTTGAGCTTTCAAAACAAATTTTCTGTACTACCAACATTTTATTTGACATACAAAGTTTTTGGATTACTTATTTTCCTTTTCTTCACTCGTCAATTATTTGTAAGGAAGATAAACAAATTGAGAGAACAAGTTTCTTTCATAGTAACTAGTAACGCGTTACTTCCAGCGTTACTTCAGGAAAGTAACGTCGTTACAATTACTTATCAATCAATCTGAAAAGTAACGAAGTTACCAAGTAACGCGTTACTTTCAGTAACTCGTTAAAGTAAAGTAACTTTTTTTTGTCGTTACTCCCAGCTCTGAGTACAAGCA